CCGAAACGTCACAAACAGTAGCTACGGGGGCGGACACCCTCGGCGCTAAGTACGGGTCAAATAACACACAAGCGGAGGACACCGCACGGGTGATAGATGAGTCAAAACTATTGCCGGACACCAATTGTGCGAATACTGACACACGCCGGGCGGACACCCGGTGTGAACATACATTACCCTCACTCTCGCAAACGGTGGACGCCGTTCCCGCGAAAAACTCAGCAACGGAATACCTATTGGCGGACACCAATAGCGGGATCAACTCCTGCTCTGCCTTGTACACCACGAAGACTGTGGCGGACACCACACGTGCTGAACATTGCAATGCAGTCGCCTCGGGGGCGGACACCCCGGGCGGATGTAATTGGCCCCGTGGCACGCAAGCGGTGGACGCCGCGAGCGTTGTCGGTGAACAAAAAGTACTGGCGGACACCAGTAGTGTGCAGAAGGACATACACAGGGCGGACACCCTGCGGAAGAGTTTTTCAGTCACACAGCCCCGATTGGCGGACACCATTCGCGGGAACGACNTGAACAAAAAGTACTGGCGGACACCAGTAGTGTGCAGAAGGACATACACAGGGCGGACACCCTGCGGAAGAGTTTTTCAGTCACACAGCCCCGATTGGCGGACACCATTCGCGGGAACGACCGCGGCACGCAAGCGGTGGACGCCGCGAGCGTTGTCGGTAAACAAAAATTACTGGCGGACACAAGTAGTGTGCAGAAGGACATACACAGGGCGGACACCCTGCGTAAGAATTTGTCAGTCACACAGCCCCGATTGGCGGACACCATTCGCGGGTACGATACGGAACTGGCGGACACCATGACCGTGTCAAAAGCTCTCCCGGGGGCGGACACCCCGGGGGAAGCACTGCTGGCACGTAGGGCACTAGCGGCGGACACTGCTAGGGCCGCTGACATCACAGGAGTTATGCGACATGATTGCGGGTCGAATTCAACGACTTCTCACTTTCGGGCGGGGAAAGATCCTTCGGCCCTAGAGAGCCCAAAAAATACAACCTTGTCGGGAAATTCAAAAACTCTGACCGATAGACTCGAGGTACAGAGAAGCAGACTCGCGTCAAGCACACACTCACTAGACGAGAAGCAATGCATCATTCGGAAGATGGCGGACATTGGTAGTGATTTGGTAAAGCTCCACGACGGAAGGCTGGGAGACGTCGCGAGGGGAATCGGCGGCACTTTGGTGTCACCGCCGTTGGACGTGAGCGACGTCAAGCAGTATTTCGGAGAGGAGAAGGGCTTTCCGGGTATCGACGACCTCCTTGAGATAGTCGGCGAAGGAGCCCCGGCCCCCACTCTAGACTCGCAGAAAAACCTTGAGAAAGCCTATGCGATGATGTCAAGCGATACAGGTGTATCGTCCTGAGAAAGGCGATCGCGTCGGACGTACGTGGGATCACAGTAGCCCCGTTGGGAGCGATCCCAGGGAAAAAAGTGAGGATCATGAACGACTTCTCTTTCACCCAAGCACTACCAAGGGGTCAAAAGGTGGGCTCAACAAAGATACCATTATGTACGGAGTTCCACGTTGCCTGTGTGGCGAAGCCCCACCAGCTCGAGGAGCTCGCTAGCCTACGAGTAAGATGGCCAGACAAGAGAATCCTCGCAGCCACGGCTGATGTCACCTCTGCGTTCAGAAATGTGAGGATATCACCAGATCATGCACACAACTTTTGCTACGTGATAGGAGACGTGCTAGTAGCGGATCTACGGCTGACCTTTGGCTGGGCAGCGTCACCAGGATTGTGGGGTGTGTTAGCCTCCGCTGCAGAGCACTCGCACCGCAACACGTCCCTCGCGAACGCTCGACTACTACCAGAAGGAATCGCAATGATGTCCCACGTGAAAATAAAACCTCCTTGGGAAAAAGGCACCCCAACCCCAATACCATCGTCGGCAGGCGTAAGACCGCATAGAGGCGGGGGACCCGCGGACGATTTCTTGGCCAGGGTCTACGTTGACGATTTCTTGCTCACGAAGGTCCAGCATGACCCCACTGACCAATCGGCACTCATTGCGTCCGCCTTACTAGCGTCAGACCATGTCAGACTGTTTGGCAAGGGAGAACTCGGAAAACCCCCCATTCTCTCCCCGAAAAAGAGCACTGACTGGGACACGGTCATAGAGGCCCTGGGGTACATCATAGACACGCATGCTGGCAGAATTGCAACTACACCGGAAAGGGTAAGCGCGATTCGGAACATACTAGAGACAGATTGGCCCCACGATAGGAAGAAGGCCAGAGTTCAACAAGTCCTCAGCATTGCAGGAAAACTGTGGAACCTCACTCACGTTATCAGGGCCGGTAGGTACTTCGTGTGGCAACTACTCCGCCTATCGGGTCTGCATACGCAGGCCAGTCGACACACACGGTCACGACGACTAGTGGACTTGGGTAGAGAGTTCCACGGCGATATCGCCTTCTGGAAGTGGGCCCTCAATCAGCCACTGGCACTTCGAGGGGAGTCCCTCAGCGCATCGTTCCTACTACACGTAAAACGAGCACCATCACGCCTTCACCTCTCAGACGCTAGCTTCACAGCGATTGGCGGCTACTGTCCCGAACTAAAGATTTTCTGGAGATACACGATCGACTCATCTTTGTCTGCGGAGCTCAAGCCCAAGGCGCAAGAGAAGGAGACGTCGGACATTGACGATCAATCTGTTAGAACTCGCCGGCATGTTCATGACGGCGTGGGTAGTCCAAATGATCTTGAAAGACTGACCTGTAGAAGAAGGGCAGTCGGTGTTGATGCGTGGAGACAACGTGTCGGCCGTCAGTTGGACTAACAGGTGTGGGGGATCGCGTGACAGGCGCGCTAGCCTCATAATGAGACTCATGGGTAGGGTGGAAATTTCTTGCGGCTGGTGCCACGTGGCCAAGCACATCCCTGGTCGAAAGAACACACTTGCGGACGGGATCTCACACTGGAAAGAAAACGAGATCGCCGCCAAAGTGAAAATGCTCACAAAAGACTCGGGGTGGACACAGCAGGATATTGGAGAAGGGGGACGAGCGTTGCTCAGCCTTATCCTTCAAAAGAAATTGCCGAAAGAAAGTCTGGACGACTCGGTATGGGACATTATGGTCCATGGATCAGAAAGTATCTGACACGGCAGAAGGGGCGGATGGACACCGCTCCGTGATTTTCCGGACGATCAACGAATCATCAAACGAAATGAGATAGCGAGAAGTTGGAGCGGTGGACACGCCTCACATTCACTGTTTCATGACGCCTTGATAAAATGGATAGCCAGGGGAGGCAGAGTTGGTTTGGACGACCAAGTTTTTTCTGTTCTCCCTTCAAACCAAGTCGGGGCTATCCACGGTTTCGGCACGAACTTGTCGTACCTTGTAAAGGAACCTCGAAATGTGCCATTCCCCACGCTGTGCATACCCGATGATTGAATATCAGGAACACAGGGAAAGGATGGCCGGGGAGGCACGAGCGTCGAGGGGGAGCGGTTGGTCAACGCACTCACCTTCGGGCCTTTGGGAAGTGGTACCAACAAGGTGTATCAAAGGATGTGGAACACGTGGAAGGAGGCTCGAGCAGGGGCGGGTTCGGGCCCGTGGCTCCGCGAGAGCGATGGAGTGGAAAGTGCGGTGCGTGAGCTGTCTGTGTTAATGGCTTGCCGGTGTTTCGGCCACAAGAACCAGAGTCAGACTATCCGCGGGTATCTCTCAGCCGTCAAGTNTAGGTCAGAGGCCGAAACAATAGTAATGATAGTAGGGCAATCTTGAGAAGTTTGCAACGGGTTAGTCCGATAAGATAACGTTGGGAGCAAGACGGCATTTTACCTGCGCTCTCAATTTGTTTCATGTGTCTTGGGTTTTTCTTTGGCTGCCTGCAGAAAAGTATTCCAGAATTCTTGAGCAAACATAAAAGCCTCCTTTTGCCCAAACATTTGAGAAAACATTTCGCCAACCGCAATATTTGGGCGCTGGCAGCCTTGTCAAAATCTTGCCGAGGGGGGGGGGTCAATAGCGCCGCACCGTCCCAGACCGTCCTCATAATCAGCGAGTGCGACCTGAATTATTGACGTATCGCTCCCATCAAAGGCTCCGACGAACCCTATGGTGAAGGGTTTGCTGTTCTGCTCGGTGGTTGTTGGTTGTCGGTCGGGACACGAGCGTTAAAAAAATCATTTCGCATCACACCAAACGTGGAGACTCCCAAACGTCACGAGAGGGCAACAAAACCGAAAAAAGCCTGCATTCTGACAGAGGCGCGACAACAGCGCGATTGATTTCTCGCTCCCTAGGCCACCGATTGACGCCAAACTGGTCANTGAAGGGTTTGCTGTTCCACACGTTGGTTGTTGGTTGTCGGTCGGGACACGAGCGTTAAAAAAATCATTTCGCATCACACCAAACGTGGAGACTCCCAAACGTCACGAGAGGGCAACAAAACCGAAAAAAGCCTGCATTCTGACAGAGGCGCGACAACAGCGCAATTGATTTCTCGCTCCCTATCCCACCGATTGACGCCAAACTGGTCAGGGTGTGCTCTCCGTTCCTTGCTCTCTCTCGGAGTGGCGTGGCTCAGGAGCTCGCAAGCTCAATCGACGGAAATCGTTGTCTGCGTGTGCGCACGCCATCCGTTGAAAAAAGTTTTCAGGTGTTCAACAAGTGACTCTATTCGCAAGTGAATAACAAGGGCAAAAAAATCAGTTCGAAAAAGCAAAGTGACGCCACGCACAATTCTCTCTCCATCGATTGAGCTTGCGAGCTCCTGAGCCACGCCACTCCGAGAGAGAGCAAGGAACGGAGAGCACACCCTGACCAGTTTGGCGTCAATCGGTGGGATAGGGAGGGAGAAATCAATTGCGCTGTTGTCGCGCCTCTGTCAGAACGCGGCTTTTTTTCGGCTTTTTCGCCCTCTCGTGACGTTTGTTTGGTGTGATGCGAAATGAGTTTTTTTACGCTCGTGTCCCGACCGAAAACCAACAACCAACGTGTGGAACAGCAAACCCTTCACCATAGGGTTCGTCGGAGCCCTTGATGGGAGCGATACGTCAAGAACTCACGTCGCACTCGCTGATTTTGTCTACCGAGGTGTCCACAACCCCCAGGTAAGATCAAGATGCAGTTTTCCATACACACGTACATGCAACAATCTTGATCTTGGGGGGGGGTCGCTTTTATCTTGCCAAGGTTTTGAAGAATCAAGATCAAGATCAAGATTTTTTTCTCCAACCGCAAGTTTCCCAGCTGGGTCAGGACGATCGCCACCGCCTCTCCATCAGCAGCCCTCTGCTCTCGCGCCAACAGTTGTCGCTCCTNCCAAACGGAAATCGGCTTCGCTACTTCTCTAGCTATAGCATAATTACAGGTGATTGTAGATTGAGAAGAGCCATCTCCTCGCCGTCTTCGCGCATTTTTGATTGCCAGTTCCTTGTCGTTGCTCAAGTAAGTAGGACTGCTGTCTGTGTGCCCCCTTCAAACAAAAAAAAAACAAAATCTATTCGCAGCATGCCGTTTTTTGTTGCTCCGCAGGGGGGTAACCCCACAGTCTAACTAGTGGTTTCATCACCTTATTTTTTGTTGCCTCCTGACGTGGCCGCCGATAGAGGCGTGTGGTTAGGGTTTCATCACTGACATTTGGGTGTGTGTTAAATGCAGTGGGTGTGGTCGCCTCTCTCGCCCGTGTGTCGGCAGAAGGTATAGCTAGCTACCTTGCTATTTGAAGGGCGGAATGCGGTGAGATTTGCGATGGTGTGACGTTGTGGATGTTCTTCAAGCCAGGGGTATCAATCATCTCGTAGCTGTGGCTGTGTGCACGCCCTTGGCGCAGAAAGTGGCCTGCGGTGCGTAAGGGTGTGTGTGTAACCCGTGTCCGCTGCTGGAACAACGTCGTGAGGCCTGTGCATCCGCGGGCGGTGCTAGGATGGTGAGCCCACCACAACGAAAACCTGTGGGCAAATGTGTCTTGAAAATAGACTGGGAATCAGCCTGACCCCCCTCCCCCCCACAGCCACTTTTGGGAATTTGGCGGCCCAATTGCAGGAAGCTTAGTCTATACACCTTTCAACTTTACCTTTGAAGGGAAATTGCTGCGGCGAAAAGAGTTAGACCACGCCACCGTGATTGGCCGGGACTGTCAACTGCAGTCGCGTCAAGACCTGAGGTTCCGGTTTGGTTCGATAAAAGTGCGGATGTGTTTCGGACTTTGCTTGTGCGCGTCAAGTACAGAAGCTCTACTGCTGCGCTGCTGCAGCATAACTACTCGCCTAGGCTGGAAAGTGAGTGCTCTCGTCGCGAACGTATACCCACGGCGCCCGAGAGGCATTGGACACTAACACACGCCAACGCCGGCCTGCTTTTTCAGCACAAGGAACGCAGATCTTTTGCACCATGGGCCGCGCGGTTCAGGCGACCCTGTTGGCTGCGGCGTCCATTACGAGCGCAGGCGCGTTCTTCAGCAGTCCAGGAGCGGCGGCGATACGTTCTGCCCGGTCTTCGGCTTCGATTGCTTCCAACTCTGCGCTTAACTCAAAGAGGTGGGCATAGCGCTGAAGATAGGTGATAGGCTATCATAGAGTACATTTGGTCTAGTCTAGACCTCGGCAAGGGAAAGAGGGAAACAGCTGTTCGCTTGTACTGCTGTACACACGCCGCGTCTCCTTCAATCACTTCCGCCGCTCCCGTCCCCCGCGGCATGCGGCCCCCAAGCCGCCCAGCAGATGTCTGCAATGAGCAGTTGCTACGCCATGAGCATCTCGGGGACGGGCAATGCCCCAATGCCTACATACGTAGGCTTGCCGGGCTGGGGATGGGCCCAATCTGTGTATTGGTACAGACACAAGCAACAGGGTTGTGCGTGTCGTTGCACACCGGCATTCGCAGGAGCGTAGCAGAGATCTCGATGCCAAAACAATCCAGGCAGCACCTCATGAGTTCACGGGTGGGGTTTTTAAGTCTGGTCATTCCTCTGTGACACCATATCCACGGCCTTCTGCATACAGCGTACGAGCAAGATTTCAACTCCGAAGTGCTGCCTCTTCTGCTGCTGCTGCTGAACGTGATGTGCAGCGCGATCTTCTTGTACCCCGCATTGCGTGACTGGCTGGCACAAATAGGAGCGGCTGGCATGTAAAGAAGAGTGCTTGCTGTCGCGGAACATTCTCAGCGCCTCTGCACACTTGCCTTGCATGCCATAACTGCGCGCGAGAGCGACAGCTCGATGACGGCTCCGACTCAAGTACAAAGACTGCTGTTACTATTGATGAGTGTTGTTAACTACTGTGCTGGCGGATAAGGCTGTATCGCGAGTTTGTCGTTGATTTCTTGGAGATCTCGTGTAGCATTAGAAATGATGCTATTTTATGTAGATCCAGGCGAGGTGTTGAGCGTATGTGAGGCTTGATGCAACCTGGACGTCAGCATACGTGTAGCTCCGCATCCACTCGCGGTTAGGAAACTCTGCCAGCAGTGCGTACGAATTATGCTATGCTTGCACAACACCGAGAAAAACACCGAGCTACACGTATGTGCGCTTGAGGTGCTGCACTGCTGCTACTACTGGTAGCGATGTATGCATACTTCGTGTGTGCTTGTTACTCTCCGAGGCACTGCGTGCACGCGGAGCAAACACAAGAGGTCCGGCGTTGCCGAATTGGTTCAAACCTTGTCAAGATGGTTGTTCGTTGAAACCGACAGAACGTCCCGACGTGGGTGACCCAGCGCAGTACGTTAATCTAATCTCATGGCATCTAATCAACCGCCGCGAACACCGCTGTGCGTTGGTGGAAGCAGGTCATGGATCCAACGGCAGCTGGGGGTGGTGATGGCTGCAGCTGGCGACCAAGAGACAGTGGTTGTGATCGGAAACGGGTGAGCAAAGCACGGAGCTTCTTCGTGAATTGTACAGTACACGCCGCGCCTTCTTGAGTACGACCCTTGAACGCAGTACGATGTCCATCGGGAGGGATTTGTTAGTCCTTCGACTCCGGCCCCACCCCTGTGGCCAGGCCGTCGTGCCTCGGGGACTGCTTGACTGCCTGGCGGGCGAGGGAGATTTGTGCCGTATGGCGTGGGGTATATGTAACTGGGCGGCCGGCGGTCACAACACCTCCGTCTACAAGCGAGACAGGACCGTTGCTGGCAAAGGAAGCTCGCCTGCATCATAAGAGACACTATCTACCTGGTGCTCCGTTCCGCCTGCGGTGTTTCGTGTGGTCCCCGGTGCCATAACCTACGTGGCGTCCCGGCCTGTTCGGCATGGAATTTTGCTATTTTATTTTTTCAATCCACCCGGATTCCCAGCAGTCGAGTACTTTCTGGTGATCCATGCCATTGGCTGGAAAAATCTCATATTCGTGGGGACGAAGCGGAGGGAACTCAACAACCCAGCCGAGCTCGTCGCAACATCAATCCGTTAGTGTGTGTGTGTGTGTGTGTTTTTTTTTGTGACAGAGGAAATGCGCAGCACGCTCTATTCATAGCTCTTGGTGCAAGTGCTGCAGTCTGTCGTCTACTCATCGACATATCATGCGATGTTTGTATGCCTTTATATACTTGTTGTTTGTTGTGTTTGTTTGGCGGTACTCGATGGTACATCGATCTGCTGTACAGTGTCTCTTGGTAGGTCACGGGGAAAAGGGCTGATTTGTTTGTTGGTGCCCCTCGGTGCTCCGCATCGCGTTCTCACCCTTTCTCGTCTCTGGGCGTGATTAGATGAGAACGGCATGGAGAGCATGGACGGGCCCTCACGTATCACACCCTCTCCCAATATCAGTCACGTACAAAGAGACCGTAGGTTGGTGACACCGCCGAAACGTTCACTATGATGATAACTTGCAATGATAATGACCAGGGAGTTTTTCCTCGACACCACCCTACCGTGCGACTTTCTCGTCGTGAAGGCCGAAATAATGTTATAATCATCCAGCTACATAGTACCTCAGGCAGGACCGCAGGAGGGGGTCCAGCCCCCCCCTCCTATGTGACCCCGGTTGGGTCGTCTAGCTAGTAGAAGTGGAGGATAGGGGCCAGAGGGGCAGACGACAGAGTCCCATGACGGTAAAAAAAAAAATATATATATATATATATCTAATAAAAAAAATATAGGACAGGAAAGCTGAAAACAAAACGTTCCCGTGCTCGCTGCCTCACTCGCCCAACGCGACTTTTGCGTCTCCCCACTCGCTTTCCTCCGTGCTAATACATGTGACGATTCGATCTACAATACATCTTTCTCTCCCTCCGCCTCTCTTTGCGTCTCACTCTTCTCGTTCTTGATTTGTTCTTTATTTTGTTCTTCTTCTTGTTCTTGCTGTCGCAGCATGGTGGGACACAAGTTCATTGAGGCCTTGAAGGAGAAAGACCCGGACAACAAGTTCAACGTGGTCACCTTTTGCGAGGAGAACAGAGCGGCGTACAACCGCATGAGACTTACGGAGGTGAGCTGCGGTTCTTTTCGCAGAACAAAACTGTATCGTATCCATTAGACTATGGAAACAAAACAGATCGTGTGCCCTTACCCATGGGAAAAACCGCACCGTGTCCCCTCAACCATGAAAAAATTACAAGTCGGGCGAACCTCGGGTGCCGCTCAGAGTCTGGCAAATCGTTAGTGTTGCATGTTCCCAGCTGCTCGTGCCGACTCCTTGGAGAAGAAGCGGGCGATGTACAGCTCTATCATAAACTATTGTAAATTGTTCTCCTGCATTCAATTACTTGTGCCCAAGCGGGCAGCGCGAAGTGTCGCTCGATGCTCATCTACGTGTGTCGCGAACGGGATACCAGCCCGTGTGCGTACCTTATGTACGGCCGGCCGGTTGTGATTTTGTAATTTTGGCGTTGGCGGTGATTCCATTCGCCATTCCTGGAAAGCAAAGAAATCACCATCAACGACAATCACGAAACAGATACATTGTACGCACGGTAGACAGGGCAAGGAGCGTAAAGTTCCATTTTGATGCCCGCCAAATTACCGCCCTCGCTCGCGTCTTCTATTCTTGTCACCATTTGTTTCATGCTTAGCTTCGAATGGTTTGTCCTCTCTCGACTTCGGCCCCGTCCCAATTCCAAAACAGTACTTCACGAACAAAGACCCAGACAACCTGTCCATGTCGGGAAACTACAACGACAACGGCGACGGGTTGACCCAGTGGTACCAGTCTACCCCCGGCGTGGAATGCTACGTTGGGGATAAGGCGCTCAAAATCGACCGCGAGGCAAAGACGGTCATCTCGGAGTCCGGCAGGGTAGGTTGTTTTCTTATTTTTTATTTGGAAAGTAGAGTAGTGATTTCCCAGATCAACACACCTTTGGTGACCAAACAATAGTAGCTCGAAATGCGGGCAGGGTCAGTACATCCATGCCCCTTTCTCTGGTTTCAGTAACAGGCCAAAACAGCCCACTCTCTGCCACTCAGTCGGTGCTTCCACCGTCGTTGTTGGGTTTCTCTCTCTTGTGTCTCTTGTGTTGTTGTTGGCGATATCTCTCGTCGTTGCTATCTCACCCTAGTTAGCAGAAATCCGGCCCTCCTGGTAGCGAAACTCCTCGACGGAGAAGCACACATGACATCACATGACAGCGTCTGTCTGTAGTCTACTGATTAACTAGACAATGCCAGCTGATTGCACGCCTCGTCCCGTCCTCCTGCACCGTAACAACACAATAACGCTCGACACCCGCTGTCGCAGGAGATCAAGTACGACAAGGCCGTGCTGGCCACTGGGTCGTACCCCTTCGTGCCGCCCACCCCGGGCGTGGATAAGAAGGGCGTCTTCGTTTACAGGACCATCAACGATTTGGAGGTGACATCGACTCTTGTCTAGTTGGGGTTTGGACTCAAACTTGTTCCGATGTGTGCGATCAGTCTCTCCGCGTAACAGCAGTCGTTGTTCGTGCTGGTTTCGCAGAGTATCTTGTTGTGGGCGGGAACACCTTCGGTTCATGTACCCCGCCCCGCCTGACTAATCATTGCACAAGAAAGTTAACGTTTTTTTTTGCGTGGGACACGAAGAAGGTTATGACGGGATTTTCTTCTTCGGAAGGTGTTGTGCTGATCTTGCGTTAATCTTCTCAACAGAACGCCCACGGCGCATGTGTGCATGCTTGGTCCGCCCGCGACTTCCTCAGAACATGATCCAGTACCAGAAGGACCACGGCGTGAAGGCGGCCGCCGTCATCGGGGGTGGTCTTCTGGGACTGGAGGCGGCGAAGGCCATGTACGACCTCGGCATGGAGACGCACATCATCGAGTACGCTCCCATCCTCATGTGCCGCCAGGTGCTGCGCTATTCCGTGCTGTCTGCTTTCTTCTACTACCGTATGATACTATCATATGCATCCCTCGGCTGATGGTATTGATTAACGACGGCGGGTGTCAAAGCACACAAGAGACAGGAGAGAGTGGTGATGTTGTGTTTCTATGGGATTTTTGTTGAGCCTACTCCACCAGATCTATGGGAAAAGCCAGAAACATCCGTGCCATTTTTCCAGAGGCTGTCCTGTTGTCGACTTGACGAAAAAATTGGTTACAGAACAGTCAGGATCAAGTTCTAGTGGTCTCGATAACTAAAAGCAGCGAACACATCACATGCCCAATGTCTAACACCGGCCTCCCGCACCGAGCTACACAGAAAGAACAACGAAAAACGCCAACCGTTCGCGATCGCCGTAAATGTAACCGTCAATAGATTGACGATGCGGGGCACGCCATCCTCGGAGGCATGATCGAGGACCTCGGGCTCAAGATCCACTGCAACGCCCGCGTCACCGAGTTTCTCGGCGACGACAAGGTGGCTGGCCTAACCTTCTCCAACGAAGGGTGGGAAGACCTGGACGTTGGCATGGTGGTTGTCTCCGCTGGCATCCGGTGAGGAACGTGCCTACAGTACAACATTTTCGAAAACCACGGAGAAACATATGCATACGGTCGTGTAAAGGGCGGCTATTTTTTTTGAGGAAGGCTGAGTATCTGGTACTACTACAGTCGATCGTACTCCGTATTATCGTCTACGGAGCGTTTGAGTTGCCTTTTAACGGACGCCTCGTTTCCAAGCACAGCACGGCAGTTGATATCTTGTGGTCCTTCTTTCGAGAATGCGATCGATTGAAGTTTTTACGTACAACTTGCACACATGCATCAATCGCGGGTTCAGAATACTGAGGCTGACCAACACGGCACACATGCATTGAGTTTTTGCGCTTGTCCCAGCTGGTACGCTGTAACGTATTCGAAATTCCGCCGGTAAGCGCGGTCGATGTATTCATTTTATCAACGCATTCAAAACGTAACACACACGCGTGCAATTACGTTTTTTCACTCATCATCTCGTTGCAACGATCCGTCTCACAAAACGCCACGTTTGTCGGCATCCCCTTGATCCTGTCTGCGTAGCCCCCGTGATGAGATCGCACGCGCTTCGGGCATCGAGGTGCACGAGAGGGGAGGCGTCATCGTGGACGACTTGCTCAAGACTAGCGACGAGGACATCTACGCCATCGGAGAAGTTGCCCTTCACGGGTATACACTACTCCTACATGCTACTTCATAGTAGATAGGGTTCCTCGATTTCCTTCGTTTGGTTCTGGGAAGAAAAAAGCCGACAAGTAACTGTTTTCCTTTTCCCTTCCCTTTGGCGTTTCAGGAATATTTTCTTCTATATATGCATACATACGCCGATGTTGGGATCCCTCTGTTGTTGCCTGGTTTTTTCGCTTTCCACTTGCCGTGACGTTTTGAGGTTGTGTTTGTTTTTTGTGGCATTTTTTCTCGTGGTTGTCACTCCCGACCTTTTGGTGCCTACCCCCCGCCCCCGTTGCCCCGACGAAACAATATTCCGTTTGTTCTTCAGCGGTAAGATCTACGGTCTGGTGGCCCCCGGCTACGAAATGGCCGAGGCCGTCGCCAACACCGTGGTCGGAGAGGAGCAGCCCTTCACCGGAGCCGACATGTCTACCAAGCTCAAGCTCATGGGGGTGGACGTGGCTTCCTTCGGACGCTACTCCGGCTTCAAAGTAAATAAGAAAGGAAGGAGCTTAGCGTGGCATTTGAATAACGCACACGAGACTGTCTGGGAGAGCAGGGCAGACGCGGTGCTTGGTTTCGTTTCCCGTCCTGAAATCTCTTCGGACGAGGGTGGACGTCAGGTCGTTGCGCCACAACACAGTTCATTCGTGATGGTTGGTAGCCGACACTTCTCGAGCTCGTGGGCGGGGACAAACCTCCCTGCGGGCACCGCTAAGCTTGGCGGTTTACAGAAAAATGGATGGTTTGCCCTAATCATGTCTTTGCAACAACCTTGTCATCGGAAAGTACACACAGCAGCTTAGCCGCGTATTGCCACGGGCCGCGATCGATCGTCATTAGAGCATTACCATGGGTCGGGGCACTATTCCTGATTTTATCGCAAGCCCTCCCTGCTATCGGTCCTGTTTCTGTTCGAAGTGCGGCCGGTTGTGACGCATGCATGCATAGTACTAGAGTAGAACACACGTGAGCATGGATGGGGCTGGTTGGTTCTCTCTACCGTGACAGCCGTTTCGGTTAACGTCCTGTTCTTGTGCATCGATTGACCGTTTCGCCGAAAACGCATTCATTGTGGTGTCACGCATAAGTGTCCGGACGGAAGTCAACACATTACAAGATCACGGACGCCACAGCGGTTACTGTACAAGCATTCATTCGTCCCTTATTCGTCCCTGTCTGAACCCATCAAACCCAATTGTGCCGAATCCCATCGCATGATGCAATGATCCCATGATCCCGCTGACGTTCAACCCACCCCACCGTTGGCTGATGTCTCGACTTCCATTTCCATCTCATCTGTTCTTACAGGAGGACGACGGCCAGATCTCCATGACCTGGAACGACCCCTTCAACAAAACTTACAAAAAGCTCTTCTTCAACACTGCCGGTACCAAACTCCTCGGCGGCATCCTCGTGGGCGATGCTTCTGAGTTCACCACTCTATTGGTGCGTGTGGTAACTTCTACTGTATCCTGCAAGACCAGTGTGGTAATTGTGTCCGTGTTTGCATAACATCCTCGTCAACGAGTAAAGGGTTTGCACTTACATTGCTACGCGTCCCCTTACGTGGATTTCGGCCCGCAGATTCAGCACCGGTGCAGCAATCTACTGTACTGCACTGCACTAAACTGCACTGGGTAGACCCAATTTGTTCTGGGTAGAGCCAAGTTGTTTTGGGTAGATTTGTTCTGAATTTGTCATGAACCAGGTGTGAAGGTAGCCCTGCAGCGAAAGTTCAATTTGTCTTGCGAAAACATATCATCTCGACTGTTTCACGGCCCCAAGCCGCGATTCCTTACGACGCGGCACTGTCATCTATCCCACTCACTCTTTAGACTACTTTGCGCCATCGTTTTTCGTCATCTCTCTCCCCTACCCCCTCTCTCCCGAACTTGATTGTTTGTTTGTCGTGGTCCGAGCAGGGCCTGCAAAAGTCCGACCGTGACCTCCCGATCGCCCCCGGTGTCCTGATGGCTCCCGTTGCGGAGGAAGGCGGCGGGGCTGCTCTCGGCGTTGAGGAAATGCCTGATGACATGCAGGTGCAGCGTGTCATGGCATGAAGGCTGACAAATCATGTTTCGCCGTCCGACTTGGTTGTCGATGGGTTTGACAGGTTTTGCTTAATTGCTTTCGGGCATGTCGTATCGTACGCCACTTCTGACACGTTGTTCGACCCGCGTGGGATACCGGTCGCGTAATATTAGAATGTTGTTTTTCTGAGAACCTTCCGCCGTGGAGTACTGTAGACTGTAGGGCCGACATCCGACTTTGTTTTCCCGGACCGAAACCCTCATCGCACGTACGGACGAGCAAGGCGAAGAGGGACTGGTAAGGACAAAGAGTTCGAGGCGGTGTTACATTCTCACCTTCTCAGGCAGAGAACAGACAACAGTGTGGTGGCTTCCCCCTCTCGCGCTCGCTGTTTGTTGGTTTGTTGTTGCCCGCCATGCTGGCGTGCGCGTGCTCACGTCATCGCTTTAAACGCGTCTCGCTTTGCAGGTGTGCTCGTGCAACAACGTGGACAAGGGTGCGATCTTCCGCGCCGTGACTGAGGACGGCCTCACCTCCGTCGGGGAGGTCAAGTTCTGCACCAAGGTGCGCGGGTGCTTTTGCCACGTCATGTCATGTCATGTACTGTACGGTAGCGTAGAAACACCCTGATGGGCATCGATGTATCGTTGTGTTGTTCGTTTTCATGTTAAACCAACGACAACAGCAGCAAGAACAACAACCACAACCACCACAGCAACAACGTTCTTGCAAGGTACTCCAGGGGTATGCTGCTATTCTATTACATCTACATATGCGTACTTATTTCCGCGTTCGTTCCTGTCTTGTCTGCGTCTCCCCTTGTCGCAGGCCGGCACTGGGTGCGGCGGGTGCGAACCGATGGTGAAGGACATCTTCGCGTTCGCCATGAAGAGCTCCGGAAAGGAGCTGTCCACCGACGTGTGCGAGCACTTCCACTACACTCGCCAGGAACTCTACGACATCGTTCGGGTGAGATGGGCGTACTATGTAGGCGTACAACAGTATCTGGAACAAATACGAATCGCAAGCATGCTGTTGTGTGTGGTGCTGTAGTCCACCTATCAACAGTGGTTGTTGCTACCTCTTTACTCTACATTTTTTTTCTATCGTATGTTTGTTGTATAACACGTCCTTTCACGCGCCTAGGCTACCGGAGTCAAGTCCTTCGACGAGCTCCTCGATAGCCACGGCCACGGTGACGGCTGCGAAGTGTGTAAGCCCCTCGTGTCCAGCATCCTCGCGTCGGTACACAACGACATGATCTTCAACAACGGCGGGATGACCCTTCAGGACACAAACGACCGCGCCCTCGCCAACATGCAGAGGGGTAAGAATAAATTTGTAGCACGGCAGCACGCGGGTCATTGACCCGTCGTTGTCACTCGACGCTGAATAGTTCATATCTATCTATAGTTCATCCGCTCTCAAAATCCACGAACTCCAGTACCAGTAGCTCAGGGTGGGTTGCACGCCAACATCAATAATAGTGTTTCTCTCTTTTGTCTTTCTCTCTCCCCTCTTTCTCTCTTTCTCTCTCTCCCTGTGTTTCTCTCTCCCCTCTTTCTCTCTCTCTCCCTCTCTTTCTCTCTCCCCTTCTCTTTCTCATGGCCGGGTTTTGCAACTGTCACGTACCTTACCTACAACATTGATTTCGACAAGAACCATCTGGTACTTGCCTGTGGTCGAAAAAGGCCGAAGGCTGCCTTGTCTTCTTCCTCTGTCCTTCATTTCTTGCCAGTATTACTGAGTTAGGGCAGGTGTTTTTTTTTGTTGCTTCATGTTGATACATTTGCGCCACCGATTCTGCACCATTCTTGTTTTCGTTTGGTTGTGTGTTGCCGGTGGTGTTTCGTGCAGGCGGTTCTTACTCGGTGATTCCGCGTGTCCCCGGCGGGGAACTCACTCCCGAGCAGCTCATCTGCATGGGACAGGTGAGGATAGGAAGGGACTACTACTACCTACGGTAGGACCGCGCTGGCGTTTGCACTGTATGCAGCAGCGGTGGAGGGTGTCTAGTCCAAGGCTGTAGAAAATACGGCTTTTTCTGTCTACAGTCGTTCGTAAAACGACAGCTACGTCGCCGATCTGTAGTTGGAGGAAAGGTTTATCCATCATCAATTGTTCGTTGTCATTGTTGAATAGAACATAGAACGACGATTGCGCCGTCCTACAACGCGTTTATTGTTGGGAGGTGGGAGGGACATTCGTGCGCATGAGACGTCGAGTCGACCTCTATCTGTGACAACCCGGATGAGCTACGACTTTTGCTCTACGAATCACCGGTGTTGGCGCAACTGTTTACCAGGCGGACTCACGTGTGCATGCGACTGACTGCTGAATACAGAATGGTAGATATATCTTCCTTGGTTTGGTCTGGTTCGCGCGGCTCTTGGAGTCCAAACACGTCAGTTGTACACCTGTATAG